CTGAAAAAACCCCCAACAACTTCCTTCCCACCAATACCGATATCCAATCCCATTCCGATCAAGATAAATCAACCATCGAAAACAACTCTAATCTAACCACTCCCGAACAAAAAAAACAAGCCCAAGAATTATTAAAACTAATCATTACCGCCGAATTATTAGTTAAAGAGCAGAAATTCAATCCCCAAATTCTCTCCCAACTGATTAAAGAAAAAAATAATAATACTCCTTCTTATCAACTCTTAAATAAAGAGAGAAGAGCAGAGCAAGTAATTAATCAGTTAGGGAAGATAGAAAAATCTCAAAAGGATAATAATAAATCAGTAGCCAGTCAGAAAAATAAGGATAAGCAACTCATTATTATTAGTGGAGGAATATTATTATTGGTGGTATTGGGAGTGATGATTTTAGTGAGGATGAAGAAAAGACTAAAAAATAAGTAATTAATGACAGATAAGTCAAAAGAAAAAGAAATAGTTAATCGTTGAATTTTAAATGAGCTAGCCATTTGCCAAGAAGATTATTTTGATCATTTAGAAAAAAAAGAAATTAATTTTGCCACAGCCAAACTTATCAAATTTACTCGGGAAAGGTTAAGCAATGAATATTTAGAATTAATAAAAATTTCACCTTGGGATGCTGATACTAAAAATACTTTTCTTTTTGTTTATCAACAGTTACTAATTATGTTTCATCCCGCTATTCCTTTTATTACTGAGCATATTTATCAGGAAATCGCCCAGAAAAATATATTGAATCAAGAAATTGAAAAAATTGATATAAAAATTAAAAAAAATAATCTTTGGCAAATTGATTGTTTGCTACTTTTAATAAGTAATATCCGTAATTTTGGAAAAAAAGGTAAAGTTAGCGAATTTTATTTAGAATTAGTTCCGGAATGAGAAAATAAATTAAATTCTTCTTTTGATTTTAATCATTATTTAGAACCATTAACTAAGAGCAAAGTTTTTATTTTGGAAAAGGAAAAAAAAGGCGAATGAGGTTCTTTCCTTGATTTGAAACCCTTTGGAAATTTGTGATATCGCGAACATATTGATAAAAAAGAATTAGAAGAGCAATTAAAATCCTATGAAAAGGAATATCAAAGAAGCAAACGGTTATTAGCCAATAGTAATTTCCTTAAAAAGGCACCTCCTCAATTAGTAGCGGAGGAGGAAAAAAAGTTAATTTATTACCAAGAACAGAAAAAAAAATTACAAGTCAAATTAGAAAAGTTTATAAAATAAATTAAGGACTATCCTAAAAATGTTTAATAAATAATTGAACAAAAAGACATAACTTAAAAAATTAAGTGAGGGGTATGTTAAAATGCGCCCCCCAATGTCTATTCTGTCTAGTGAGTAAACTTGAATGTATAAAAAAAGCCGGCCAAGCCGTAATTAATATTTTAAAAAAGCTAAAAAAGGAAATAAAAGTTGGTGTTTCGGGAAAGGATTTAGATAAACTAGCCCGACAATTAATGGCGGAGGAAAAAGTTCAGTCATCCAGTCTTAATTATAAAGGTTTTTCGGCAGCCATTTGTGTTTCTCTTAATGAAGAATTAACTCATGGGATACCGGACGAACGAGTTTTTAAAGATGGTGATTTGGTGTCGATTGACGTAGCTTGTAATTACCAAGGTTATCATGCAGATGCTGCTTTGACTACTATTGTGGGGGAAGGAAATGAAATGAAAAGAAATTTATTGAATGTGACTAAAAATAGTTTATATTATGTTATTCAAAACATCCGTCCTAATATTACCACAACCCAAGATATCGGTGCTATGTTAGAAAAATACATAAAGAACCGCGGCTATCACCCCATTAAAGAATATGGCGGACATGGTATTGGGGAAAAACTTCATCAAGAACCCTTTATCCCCAATTATAAGACCCCTAATAAAGGAGAGATTATTAAGGAGGGAAATTTTATTTGCATTGAGCCCCTAGTTCAGATTGGTGATGCTGAGGTAGATATTTCGGCTAATAAGTGGACAGTATTTTCCAAAAATGGTCATTTGAATGCTCATTTTGAACATACAATTTATATTAGCAAAGAAGGAGCAGAAATAATAACTAATTATGAAGACAAATAAAGAATTTTTTTCCGTTGAGGGCAAAGTGATTGAATTAATATATAATAAACGGTTTCGGGTGGAATGTAAAAATGGCAAAATAATTACTGCTGATGTGGCTAATCGTTTTCGCAATGAACAAGGGTGGAGAAGAGCCAAAATTGTTGTTGGGGACAGAGTAGTAGTGGAAGTAGTTTTGGGCGATTTAGAAAAAGGACAAATTGTTTCATTTGAAAAAAAAGAGTAAAATTAAAATATTATGAAGGTTCGTAGTTCAATTAAAATAATGTGCCGCGACTGTCAAGTCATTAAAAGAAAAGGCAATCGTTACGTCTATTGTCGGGAAAATCCAAAACATAAGCAAAGACAAGGTTAAAAACAATAAAAATAATATATGGTTCGTATTGGTAACAAAGAAATACCTGATAACAAAAATATCCGGGCTGGTCTAACTAGTATCTATGGTATTGGCTGGTCTATGGCTGAAAAGATTATTAATGAACTAGGTATTGAAAGCCGAAAAAGAATTCGTGATTTGTCTGAAAGCGAAATTAAATCCATTGGCGGGAAAATTAAACAGTTTCCCACCGAAGGAGAATTAAAAGAAAAAACCCAAAAGAATATCAGTGAGCAAATTCATCTTGGTACCTATCAAGGATTAAGACGTTCTCGCAAACCCAATCCTTTACCAATTCACGGTCAAAGAACACGACATAATGCCCGCACTGCCAAAGGTCATAAACGAATAACAGTAGCTAACAAGAAAAAGGCTCCCACGGCGAAATAGAAATAATTGCTCAAAGGAGTTGTTTGGACAGTTATTTTTTTTCTTTTGTGTGAAAGCACACTTTTTTCTTGGAAAAGATTACAAAAATAAATGAAAACAAAATTTAATAATTACAATTTATAATATAGAATGGTAGCAGTAAAAAAAGGTTCCAAAAAGGAAACCAAAGCTAAAAAAATCAAAAAAGTCCCCGAAGGTCGGGGGATTATTCATGGCAAATTTAGTTTTAATAATACTATTTTGCAGTTGAGTAAAGAAAATGGTGATATACTCGGCAAACAAGATAGTGGTGGAAGTGTAGAGATTGGCAATAATAAAAAAGTTACTGGGACCAAGAAAGCTACCGCTTTTATGGCTGAAAAAGCCGCCGAAGAAATAATTAGAAGAGCAGTCGAATTTGGGGTTTATAATGTCAAAGTGCAAGTCAAGGGAATTGGTTCTGGCCGAGATGCCGTGATAAAAAAGATACTGGAAGAGAAATCCTTAACTGTGGAAGAGTTAATTGATAGAACTCCTAACCCTCATGGTGGTTGTCGTCCCCGGAAAAGACCACGAAAATAAATAATATATATGTCATTACTTAATAACTTAAAAACAGAAGAAATAGTTCTCAAAAATAAACCCCACACTGCTTCTTACGTTTTTCATCGATTACCTCCAGGCATGGGGATAGTCCTCGGCAATTACTTACGCCAGTTTCTTTTGAAATATACTAGTGGAATAGCTCCGGTGGGAGCAAAAATCCGTGACAAAGATGGTTCGGCGGAAAGTGAATTTAGTGTCCTCGTAGGAGTACGAGAAACAACTCCTTATCTTATTATCAATCTGAAAAATATTATCGTTGAGGAAAAGAAAAAAAAGGAAGGGATTTTTTGCCTCGAATTAAATATCGAGAACAAAGAAAAGCAGGAAAGAGTAATTACTGCTGCTGATTTTCAGAAAGATAAAGATATAGAAATTAAAAATCCTGAACTTTACCTTGCTACTCTTGCCCCCACAGCTAGTTTAGAAATAAAATTATATTTTCAGAAAAATTGAGGTTATCACAAAGAAGAAGAACAAGAAAAAAATTACTTTGCGGGGGAGGAAGATGTTATTGTTTTTGATACTGATTATTCGCCAGTTAAGGGTGGAATGGTGAATTTTCAAACCACTTTGGATGTAAATAGTCAAGAAATCCCCGAAGAGAAGTTAACTGTCACTATTACTACTAACGGCGCCGTTAAACCAAAAAAAGTTCTCCAAGAAGTTTTAGAGATGTCAAAGAACTTTTTTAGTACAATTACTGATTCGATTAGTAGTGAAAAAAAAATTGCCGAAACTAAGTAATTATTATGTCCTACATTAATAAACCTGGTAAAACTACTGCGTGGCGCAGTCATCTCCTTAATAATTTAGTGGCCGATGCTATTTTGCACGAAAAAATAGAAACTAGTCTACCGATGGCTCGGAGTTTAACAAAGTTGTTGGCGAAACTTGTTAAATATGCTAAACAA